CTGAGTTTCCAGTATCGTCTATTAGGCTTTTTGATGGCTGGTCTGTTCCTAAAATCGGCTCTTTCACAAGCGATGTTCTAATGTTCACGCTATAGTTTTAAATGGTTCACTGCTCAATATTAGGCAATTTTGTTTTTATACAATTTCGAGGGGTTTTTGTATAATTTGATATCTTACTAATGAGATTGACTGCTATAAACGACATGTAGTGCTAGGCTATTACATATTTAAGATGTAAAACTTAAGTAGTGTACCTTTCAAAGTTTAAAAGAAATAAGGATGGGGAATTCCCTGGCAGTCCAGTGGTTAGGACTCCGAGCTTCTACGGCAGGGGACATGGGTTTAATACCTGGTTGGGGAACTAAGATCCCGCGTGCCATGCAGTGCGACCAATAAATAAATAAATAAAAGAAATAAGGATGCTCTCCAATAATGCCTTTTTAAAAACATTTCTTTCAAACTAGTTCTTTCCAACCCTTGTTTTATACTATGCCAATGTCTTCATTTTTTCATGATGTATGTGCAATTCTCAAAATCTATATTAACTCACTATATGAAATACATATGTTGCTACATAGAGCACTCAGAAGTTATAGAATCACAAATTATTTCAACAAACATTTACTGAGCACATATTATATACCAGGCGCTGTGCTAAAGAATATGGAGAAAAGATGAAATCATGGTCTCAGCCCTCCAAAATGAGTCTAGCAGGAAAAACGGATATACACAGTAATTAGGATAAGATGTGACAAGTGTTAAAATGCTGATAGATACAAAACGCTCTGGGAGCATAAAGAAAGTGACAGTCTGCCTTAAATAGGGGTTTGCGGTAGGAGTGGAGGAAGAGGGGGGTGAGTTCCAAGGAAGAGTATGTGTGGAGGCATGAAAGAGACTCTTAAAATGAGCTTTGGCATTGCTTACGGTTAAAAAATAGCACGTATGGAGGAGCAGCAAGAGAGAAGGCTGGAAAGGTAAGCTGGAGGCAGATGGTGAAAATCTTGTAAGCCAAGTTTGAGAGTGTTTCTCAAAATGTCGTACCAGACTAGCAGCAGCAGCTTCACCTGGAAACTTGCTAGAAATGCAGATTTTTGGGTTCCCCCCAGACCTACTGAATCAGAAATTCTGGGGTTGGGGCCCAGCCATCTGTGTTTTAATAATCCCTGCAAATGATTCTGATGCACACTATGCTTTGAGAAGCACTGCTGCAGGCCAAGGAAACCTCGGAAGGATTTTAAGCAGGGAATTGACTGGATATGATCTGAAGTAGGAAACTGGCTGCCATTGACTAGTCAAGCAAAGGGCCTGACTCCCAAGTAGTTACAGTAAAAAATAAATAAATATTGAATGAATGTGGCATGGAGAGATGAGGGTCTACACTAAGGCAGGAGGAATGGAGAGGAAACAGATTTCAGAGATGTTTTTCAGGTGGCTCAAGTTCAATCAGGTGACTAGGGTATATCCATACAAATGTATAACCAAAATGGTTTTTATATAAAAGCAAGCTATAATTTTGTCAACTGTTATCAGCTACTAAGTGTTTTAAGAAGTGGTCCACACAGACCCTAGAAAAAAGGGGAGGTCAAGAGCAATTTCTATGTGTTCCCACAGTGTCAAGACCAAAGGGTGCCCTGGCTTGTACATGAATCTCTGGTCTGCTTAGCAGTTCTACATCTCCCTTTATTAATAAACTGATATTCATATTAACATAGAAATCTCTTGAGTTTGGTTAGTATGGATCAATCCCTGATAGTTTCTAGATGTGCTGGCAAAATGTAATTTTGAACCCTGAAAAGCTGAAAACCAGATACTGGTTCTGTGATCTAATCAAGGTACTGCCAAGGTGAGACCCTGCTAGAGCTGTCTTTTTATTCAAATTTCATCACTGATCACATAGCCCACTTAATTCAGGAAGAAGCTGGAATGAGTGAAAGAATCAGACTTTGTACTACGCCCTGAAGATCAAGAAAGTCAGATGGAACTGTTATTTATAATGTTTAGCGGAGGCAATCTTCAATTCCCTGATAGAGAGGAGAGACAGGTACAGGTCAACCTATACGGTTAATTTACCTAAGAAGAATTTTGCAGAATGCAGTTCCTATTTCTATTAGGATTCTGGGTACTTCTTGTTACTTACTGCATGTTCCTTGTAGTTGATACCAACATCTTGCCTTATTTGACCAGCTTATTTTATCCAAGAATAGTGCCCAATCAAAAACTGCACCACTTTATGGAATTTGAGAGCTATTGGGGCTCTGGAGATTAAAACAAAACTTTCATATTACCCATGAGGAAATGGAGGGCCTCAAAGAGTAAATCACTTAATCTATTTATTGTAGGGCAAGATTCTCCAGAATGCTACAAGGTGGCAAAACAAGATTCAGAACACTAATAATCTAAGTTTCAGACTTAGATTTTAAATTATTTTCTGTCTTAAACTTTTTAAAATCAGAAAAAGAATAACAAATTACTTCATTGGGCTATTAGAGAAATGGGAAGCTTTTCTTGCAGTTTCTTGTTTTCTGCTTTTCAGAAATTGGAGTTATATGTAAAAGGTCCATGAGAAAAAAAATTGAAAATAAAAAATTTAGGAAGAAAATGTGCATGAACAATTTAAGGGGAGAAACATGCATTATGTTATAAACTATTTGTTCTATTTTCTATCTTTGCCTATAACATGATAACTCTGTACTGAATATTGTCCATTACATTTAATTATATTCTATAAATAAAGGGAATCCAAATAAAGGGAATTCCAAGTTTTCAAATATCCTGGCATTTGAGTAAACCTCTTATTTTGAGAGTTCTAGAAATGCTTCAGAATCTAGTTTAATCTCGAATCCTGTTTGGATATATAGACGTGAACAACTTGAAAGGCACATTTGGCCCCGTTTCCTGTTTTCCAAACTTCCCACTGCTTTATAACCAAATATACGTGTAATCTAAAAGTTGTTGTCCACTCCCTATTCAATATCCTGTATATGATATTTTCTCGGCAGAGATTTCCCAGCACTTAGAGGAAACAAGTGGACAAGATTTTCACCATCAAGAATATATTAAATCCCATGTGCGCCCTGCCTGAAGAAATAGATTTTCCCCTTTTTGCCTGGAATTCACATTAAGAACACAATGCATTCCAGAAGTACAGGACTGCTTTTTAGGCAAGATCCAAAGGACCCAATATTCCAGGTTTCCGTCCTTCTCTTAGTTCCCTCAAAGGTAAAAAAAAAAAAAAAATCCGGGACCTTTTTCACTTAACATTTTCCCTCTCGCTCCCCGAAGTGAGGTCTTTTCGAGTCTCCTGGGGCAGAAAGGCTACTTCAATCCGGAGAGGACAGATGTCAGTTACTTTACCCAGAGGGGACACCACAGAGCACTGACGAAGGGCTGGAAGGCTGAGGAGGGAGTATCAAACGATCCATCCTAGGACTTCAGCTCCACCAGGCTGGGGCCCAGACTTTCCAGCCCTCGTCCCCACACCGGCCGGCTCCATGTGAAACCGGTCATGTGAGCCTGTTTACAGCCCAGCAGCTGGTGCAACCATCAGGATCCGTGCGGAGGTCCAGGAAGGGGGAAGACACAGGCCACGTACCCCTTACATCCACCGCCAATCATTTCAAGAAGGCGTTTGCTCTCACTCCCAGCCTCTCCACCCCGCTTTCATTGCCCTCCAGCCATCCCGGGACGCCTCGCTCCAGCCCCGCCGATTTCCTTCCAATTGCTCGCCGCGGGGACCGGCTGGACTGGAGGAAGGACGAGGACAGTGTCATCCCGAACAGGGAGTCGACCTCCCTCCCCCAGCCCTCCTCGAAACATCCGCCAAAGAGTTGTCCCTGGAGTCGCATCCCCGGGGCAACCGAACTCTGTCGGGCAGGCACCGGGAGGATCCAGAGCCAGCTGCCTCCGCCCGGGCAAAAGCGAAACACACACGCGCCAGCCCCATCCGGGGGCGGAGATCCGCGGGCGGCGGGGCAACTGACAGTCAGAGATGGGGCAGAAAGGACTCCATCTGCCTTCCCCCCACCTCCCACCCGCGTCCCGGCGCCACGGAGCCCGGCTGTCAGTCACAGAGCCAAGCTCGGGGTTTAGGTACAGCTCATTCTTTCCGCGGGATCTCTTGGCAACGCAACTTCCACGTCTTCCCGAAGTCGGAGGAAGTGGGTGACGGGACGGTGGGGGACTCTCACCTCGGCAACACCGGTTCCTCGGAAAGCAGCTGCGACTGCTCCCTCCAGTCCTTTGTCAGCATCTCTAGGCTGCACTGCCTGCTGGGATACCGGAGGACTCAAATGCCACCTCTCTCCGCCCTGGAGGATGAGCTGCGGTTGCGGGGTGGGTGGGAAGAGGGAGAAGAGGTGGAGTCGGAGGCGGGGCCGGATCCGGGGGCGGGGCTTCCTTACTGCCACCTGGCCTCTGGATTTCTCCGTGCTGTCTCTGACCTGCCCCTCCTCTCCCTTCCTGCCGCCCCTTGAAGAGAAAGGGGACTCTTACAGAGGGCCATCTCTCATTGCACCCCTCGTCCTATTCCCCTACACACACACACACACACACACACACACACACACACACACGATGAGGACAGAGGCTAGTTGATTCTGCCTCTGAAATGTCTTATTAACCTCCTCTTTCTCCACACCATCCTCAGTGATACAGGCTCTGTTTAGGCCCCATGATTTTTTGCTTGGACTGTTGCAGTAGCCTCCCGATTGGACTCTCTCCTTCCACTCTTGTCTTTGTCTAAACCATCTCCCAGACAACAATCAGAGAGATTTAACATGTATACGTGACAAGTTGCTCTTCTGCTTAAAACCTTTCACTCTCTCAGCAGTATCTACAACCCCTTAGCATTTTATATGAGGTCCTCTGCAACCCTTTTCTGATAACCCAACACCTGAGCCCATCAACTGGCCATCCATGGAAGACAGTGGGGCCTGGGACAATTCAACCAGTGCTGGCTGCCCAAAATACTCCCCCTTGAGAGGAGGCCACACTGTCAGTAATGCTCATAGGCCCCTTGACTATCATTAAAGAGAATTTTCAAAATGAAATTTTAATCATGTCCATTAAGGAGAGTAAGGTACAGCCACTCCAGGTCCCCTCCCCACAAGTATAAGGCCCAAAGAATTTCCCCCAGTTGTCCCACCCGAGCAATGGACTGCCAGTAGATGTCCCGTGGGCTCAGTCTTCGGATGCCTTTGCTCACAGATTCCCACAGTTTATAATGCCCTTCTGTCTTTCAAGGCCCAGCAGAAATGTCACTTCCTCCAGTAAACCCTCCAGGATCGTCCATGAGAACCATTAACTCCTGCACCACCATCACAGAATGTTACTTTTTCTGCTTTGCAATTCTTCCTGACTTAGGTAATCACTAGTCATGTATATGTCTTCCTTCCTCTCCTGCCTAGGCTAAGAATTCCTCAAAACCCACCCATAGCTGGCAGCAGAATGCCTGATCCAGAAGAGACATACAATTGGATGAAATGAATGAAATCCTTCAACTTCACTGTATCTGAAGCCCTAAGTAGGCCCAGAAAGAATCCTAGGCAAAACCTCATAATCACCACCTTCCCTTCACTAGGACATCTCCATCTTGACCCAGCCACATGAAACACAAACTGGTTAGTCAGCAGAGCATTGCAAAAGGACCAAAGCTTGTACTTCCCTTGCAAGTCAGACTGGTTTGTGGTATGATATGTGGTTGTGGAAGATATTACTGGTATAGTTCACATGACAATCCAGTGTAGAAAGATTTCACGGTGCCATAGAAAATAACTGAGTTTCCAAATGCAGATGTATCTCCTGCTTTTGGGAAGCTTCAGACTTCTATTTGCTTCAGGCTGTCCTTGGGCTCCATCCACATCCCTTCAGACCTTGTAAACTGTGTTATAAGGTATCCTTTTACAAAAGTAGGCATCTTGCTTTGTGTTGTTCTCGCACCATTTAATGCATATTGTTTGCTCTCCAATTACATTACAAGATACACTCTGGCGCAGTTTCCTCATCCATAAAATGGGGACAAGAATCCTTGTCCTACCCAGTTTACTGGGCTGTTAGGAGGTTCTGATGTAGTAATATTTATAGCATATGTGAAAATGTAACTGTAGGATGCTTTTCCAGTGTAAGGTCTGTTTTATTATTACGTTTTTAAAACCTTTACACTCTACCACTTAGGTATGTGTGTTTGAGATTCCACATTAGAAATCAAAGCCTTTATTGTGAATCCCTGGGGATAATGCTTTAAATCATGGTTTCCCAAATTTGCCTGAAGAATTACCTGTAACTGTTGACTTAAAGAAAGAAACACAATATAAGAGTTGTGAGTTTAAGTTTTATTTGGGGTCTTGCTGAGGACTATAGCCCAGGAGGCAGCCATTCAGCTAGCTCTGAGGAAACTGCTCCAAAGAGGTAGGGGAGAAGCCAGTTTATCCACTTTCGGCTAGGAAATATGCACAGTCAAGCATACATTCTTGGTAAAAGATTATTGCTATTCACAAAGAACAGATACCTCAAGTTAATGATTTTAACTGTGCTTTCCTATGTACTAGAAGATGCAAGAAGCTGGGGTCATTGAAATTCTTCCTGAGATATGCATCTAACTATCCATGGGGCCTGCTTGTCCAAAGCACAGAGTGCCTCCTCCTGTTTTTCATCCTGAATTCCTCTCAGAGTACACTGTCCGTCAGCAAATGCAGTGGGTTACAACTTAACCCTTGTAGAACTGGGTGATGAGCAACGCTCTTTGTTCTTCTTTGTTCACAGAGCCCTTGTTAAAAACAGATTTCCATGATGTCCACAAAAGAAAGCCATGAGTTCAGAACTATTCTGATATTCAGAGCTTGGACAATTTTCTGATCCCCTTTGCTATACGCTTCAGGAAGTATCTTTCCTTCTAGTTCAGACCTCGCTGGGGCTTCAGCACATGTATGTCTGATTTGTGAGCCCAGCTGCATTAGCCTGTTCATTTTACAAAGCCTGCAACTTCATGAAGGTGTAGAAAACGAGCAGAGAATTTTAAGGAGAGTTGCCCATTTTCAGAGAATAAATAGTCCCTGCTTTCATATATTATTTGTACCTAAAAAACAAAAACAGATTTCCAGAACCTACCCAGACTTATTGAATAAAAATTTCCAGGTAAGATTCTGCTCCAACAATTCTGAAGTGTGGGCTTTTCCACACCACTGACCAACTGTCTGACACCGGCTGGGTGTCCTATAATTCAACTCCACTCTGGCACTGTCTACCCACAATTCAACTCCACTCTGACACTATCTACCTGGAGATAGTGTCATATCCCACAGGTTAAGGGCTCAGTCCCACAAGACTGCCCTCCACTTCAGATATCAATCACAAGTCTAGGTTATCACCTGTACTTCTGACCAATTGGCTGTAAATCAGAGGTCCCCATGACCCCCTCCTTTGGGTTCAATCAATTTGCTAGAGCAGCTCACAGAACTCAGGAAACCAGTTTACTCACTAGATTACTGATTTATTACAAAGGATATTAAAGAATATGAACCCATGGCCAGATGAGGAGATACATAGGGTGAGGTCTTGAACAAAAGAGCTTCTGTCCTTGTGGTGGGGCCCGGCATGGTGGCACACGGAAGCATTCTGGTTCACCAACCTGAGGGCCCTCCAAACCCTGTCCTTTTGGGTCTTTATAGAGGCTTCATTACATAGGCATGATTGACTAAATTATTGGCCACTGGTGGCTGATTCAACCTCCAGCCCCTCTCCCCTCTGGAGGTCCCCATCCTTAGGGGTTTTTCGGAAGTCACTGCATTAACATAAACTCAGATGTGGTTGAAAGGGGTTTGTTATGAACATCCAGACACCTTTATTGCTCTCATCACTTTGGATATTTCAAGAGTTTTAGGAGCTCTGTGCCAGAAATGGGGAGGAAAACCAAATGTATATTTCTTATTATAAATCACAATATCACACCAGGAGAAAAACAAGATCAACAGTATAATTAGGAAATAACACCAGGTGATTGTAATCCTCAGAGAAACCTGGGAGACACTGCTCTTGCCAGTTATTCCCAGATCAGAATGAATTCATTTAGGATTCTTTCTGGGAAAGGCCTCTCAGATCAGGAGGAATCAAAACTGGAACAGATCCTGAGAGGAGGCTCCAGAAGGGCAGAAAAACCTCAGTTTGCGCCACAATGATGCCCACAACTAGTAAAGCAAAACCTTCCCCTGGGTTTCCTCGTCTTCGCTCCAGGAGCCCAGAAACTGGCTTGAGGCTCTGTGGCTGGCAGCTAAGCTGATTTCCCAGTGGAAACCAAAACCAGGAGCCGTTACTGTCTCCATCCAGTTGGTGATTTTCCAGGACTTTCTCAGTGCTCTGTGACCAAAACTCCCTTTAGACCCCTCTCTTCAGAGTTCCGCCAGCTTCCCAAGCAGACCTCTTTCCCAGCAGTTAAACATGGCATTGTCACTGTTTTCCTGTTTGTCTCTCAGGTGGTGAGAGCTGGACTGGGTCTTAAACACCTTCGCACCCCCTGGGGTGTGGCGCTGTGCCTGATGTACTGTCGGTGCTTCTGTTGTGCCGACCTATGAAATTGTTTAACGTCTGCTTCACCTGCTTGACTGGGAGCTCACCGAGGGGAGCCACAGTTCAACTCCATATCCTCATGTCCTAGCGTCGAGACATGCACAGAGTCATGGGTCAGCAAATGTTTGTTGAAGACCAAATGGTGCCCCTTTTGGTAGTGCCTACGTTAGCTACCTCAGGAGAGATGCAGGCTGCTAGGCACTGGCACTGGTAGTCTTGGGACGAGGATTCAGGGAGAGCCTATTGCTCATAGCCTTGATGTACGTGTGCGCCTTTTGACCTGAGCTGAGTTCGAGAAGGGCCTTTTGAAAAGAGTGGGGAATATGGCCTAGTTCTCCCAATACCTTGAGGCAAGCGCTGGGACTGGAAGGTGTGGCTAAAACAGGATTGAATACCAACAAAGTTTTGGCTGCATTCTCATCTGCTGACCATCCAGACACGTGGCAAATACAGGCACACAAAGACTTTAAAGGCCATACCGTTCACCCTAGATTGTTCAGCAGTGTTCAGCTATATTGCATTGCTATTCCATTTTGGAAACCTTTGCCCAGAGCTCCTCTCCTGTTCTTGCCATAGCTCATTTTGGAAAAAAATTAAGCAATAAGAAACACAATTGCAGGCATTCGGTAGCAGGGCAGAAAGAGAATTTTAACTGCCTAGAGTACTTTT